CCAGCCTCCCCTCCAAGCATCCCTCGCCGCAGACCCAGCAGGGCAGGCAGGGAGCTGTGAGCGACCAGCCCAGCAAGACCCCATTGCTCCCTGAGGACACGGGGCAGGATAGTGCGTGGTGGTGGGGTACATCAGTGCTGGCAGTCGGTCCCCTGGCGCGGCGGGGTGGCACAGGGCCAGGCGGACAGCAGGGGCCGCAGAGGCTCACGCCACGCTGGAGGACGCCGCAGCGACGTGCCGGGAGCCAGCTGGGAGCTGCGATGCAGGTGTGATAAGCACGTACATTGCTCCGGAAAACACGGCTCGTGCATGTCAGCCCAAGCTGATTCTTGGATTGATTTAAAAAAAGGGGTCAGGCTGAGGAACCGTGTGAATGAGCTGTTTACGGGAGGCATGTTTTTCATTAGGCTGAATTAAATCTGGATTTCAGCAGGGAAGTGAATATATTGTGAGCTCCTGTTACAGAAAGGGAAGACTTCAACAGAATGGCCAGGGTCCTGGCTTTCCCACTGCTGCAGGGAGGACAGCTAAACTGCATTAGGGAGGACACAGCTGTAGCCTTTTTTTGGCCTGGCATGCTCTTTAGCGTGACGCTACACAAATCCGTGTGTCTACTCACGTCGGACGTGTCGAAGGAAGATGTTATTACTGCGATCTACCAACCACCCTGCAAATCAACCATTGGGTTGAACAGCAGCTCAATGACTGAACTGGGTAACTCCAGGTGACTCGACGACCACCCTCCTTTTGCAACAACGTGCCCCATACCGCCGTGCCACGGGGAAATGTATGCCCGTGGGCCAGTGTGTGAGCACTTCAGCTGTGGGTCTGAAACAGCATCTGGGTCCTTCAGCAGGCAACAATCACAGGAGATGCTGCTGCAAGGGCTGAGGTTGCCTCTTGTTTTTCCCAAGGTAAGAAAGTCCTGTGAGACAGGACTGGTGAGACCAGCTCTGAAGACAAGCAGCATGAGCTGTCTCCACGCCGGACCTGAGAGATGATGCTGAAGAGCCCAAAGCCCCAGCAGTTTTCCCAGCAGCAGCATCCCATGTTACCCCCCTTGCTCTATTGTCAAAATACAGGCCAAAAGCCATGCCAGGCCAAGTATTAACAAAAGTAACTCTTTAAAGAGATTTCAGTCTGAATCTCCTTCCCCCTCACTCACCTGTGCTGCGTGAGGACGTGGACGGCAGAGGGGTGGTTAGCGCAGTAGGTCAAGTACAGGGAGCGGAACTGGGGCATCAGGTTCATGAAACAGCCTCCCACGCGCTGCTGGTTCTCGGGGAGCCTACAGATGCCAACACACCAGCCACAGCATTAAGCCTCCTGCTCTGCACCCCGCAGCTCCGGCGCTCTTGGGTACCTGCCCGGGAACCACCCGCTGCAACGGGGACGTTCGCGGGTCACCGCATAACTGTGGGACCAAGCGAAAGACCCACGCCTGCCACTTGGGAAGGAGGAGGTCGTCACACAGGTCTGGGTTTCTGTGGTGCAGATGGCAAATATCACATCCCGCGATCAGCCCAGGACAAGGTGTGACCCAGCCTGTCCTGTCCCACCAGCACAACTGCAGCGGGATGCCCCAGCCCACTGCGGCTGGCGAGAATGTGCTGGAAAGCACTGGGTGCAATGGAGGGGTGGTCCCGCTGTCCGGGCTACCCAGGAATATGGGAGAAGTGATGGAGAGAGAAAGGGAAGCCACAGCCTGAACACATTTCCAATATTCAGTCTTTTCCCCATCTCTCTTCAGCCCTTCCAAACGAGAGGCTGGGCTAAGGCTGAACACATCTGCCAGCCTCCCAGAGGGAAATTATTACGGCTCATAATTTGCTCTTTGCTCCCTGGCAATCCCCACCTTCACGCCTGCCTTCACGTGTTGGCGTCTTTGCTCCAGCGACACGTCCATGTCAGGTCTAGTGACACTCTCACTCAGCAGATGCCTGAACAGTAGAAATGTCAGAGTTTCTCCTACCTCCCCTCCTGCCAAAGCACTACCTGCTGCCTTTCCTCAATCCCGTTATTTTCTTCTATACTTAACAAGTCTAAGACAGCAGTCAGGAGGAACGTTAATGAATGTGTCTCTGTATTGTTTTTAGCTGCAGTTTAAGAGCTTAACACCCTTGGCACTGCGGCACGAGCTTACTTCGCAACTTCTTCCAAGGCTTGGTTCAAAGTTTGCTGAAATGCAGAGATTTCTTCCACGTTCCCCAGCAACGACGCGATGTCCACAGCACTGAGCCTAAAAGAATCAAACCACCAATTAGGATCAAAGAGAAGTTGCTCTCAGGAGCATCCCCATGGTATCTGTAAGAGGTCCTTCCGAAAAAGCCCAGGAATTTATCTTTCCCCACACACACCATGGGACACAGGAAAACACAAAATCCATCATCTGTGAGCTACAGACCACAGCCTCCCAGAGAAGACGTCTGCTGTCAAAGATTATCTTAATTGGATTTTAATCACTTAATCACACTAATCTTCTCAGATGTTTAGCTGTCTCATAGACACAGACAGATGGGATTTCAGCCAGGGGTAGGGAGGGAGGTGTGTGCACAGGCACAGAGACAGCTTTGTCTTCAGGGATTCATGCTGTGGGTTTCCCCATGGGAGGAGGGTCCTGCAGAGCGGCCCCTCAGGTACAGGTTGCTTTGTTCCTTGAGCGAGGTTGGATTTTTCTCAGCCAAAACTAACATGACTGCTTCTGCCATCCTCAGAGCTGCTCTCATACCACCCTCATTTAAGCCATTTGCTGCCTACACGGCTGAGAGCACAAGAAATTTTCACAGCTGAATCTACCCACGTGAAGACACAAGGAAGAAGGAGAGATTTAAATACAAGACACTGCTCTCCCATCTCTCTGGGCTGGACAATGTCTAAACATCTGCCCTCTGCCCGTGACGTCCCCAGGGCTGCCCGGTCCCCCTCGCAGCATGCTCAGCCGGAGGGACCCTGGCCCCAAACGCAGCCGCGTGGATGGGGTTGTCGCACCGGCACCGTTTGGAAAAGACGATTGTAAAGCTGGAGCGATAATCAGGAGGCAAAGCTAACCGCGCCGGGTCTTTCACGCAGGGTGAAACCATTGATAGGAATCTGCTGATGGGCACTGATACGCTGCCTGTCGCTGCCGGGGTGAGGGCAGGGCAGTGTGTGCTGCCTCTGCACCACACTCCTACATCCGGCACGGATGGAAAACACATCAGCTTGTTTCGGCAGGTAAGCCCTGACAAAGCCCCCAGCCCTGCTGGCGTTGCCCAGGCCGTACGGGATGGCTACGGGCTCTTCCCAAGCACGGAGGTGCTTCATCCACTGGCTGTGTGGACAGCGGGTGCCAGGGGGGCCGCTTCTTGCTCAGCAGCAGTTTGGGTTTAGCAAGAGGCAATCTAACCACGGAGAACACACATCGTGGCGCGCGGAATGATGAGATGAAGAGGAGACGCCGCTCGGGCCCGAGAAGTCACAACAAGGCACGTTACAAGGGAAGAAGCCATGCAAGGCACAGGGAAACATGCATGCCGAGACAGCCACACGCCAGCCAGCGGATGGGCTGTAATGGGAAATGCCCATCTCTCACACAGCCCAATGCCTGCACGATAACCGAGGAACAGGGAAGAGCAGAAACCTGTACAACGTGGGAATTTTTTTTTTCTGGTTCACAGAAGGTGCAAGGCTTTACAAGAAGAGCAGTAACAGTCCCTAAGCATTCAAAAGCAGGAAAGTAACGTATCCTGTAGTATCAACTGTGGTTGATATTACAGGGTTGTCTCCGCCTCAGATGCCCTTATATCTTACTTATCATAAGACTGGAGGGGTCTTAAGTAAGTTCCCAGAAGTGACTGTAGTTCCTTCGCATAATCTCGTTCTGTTTCCAGAATATTTTGCAACACCTAGGGTGAGAGACAGAGCACTGAGTAGATCTTAGTACTACTGACTAGTTAAAGGAACATGACATCAGCTTCCAAGTGTGGAAAAGCATGGAAGTGTATTTTAAGTCTATAAATTACATTTGTTAACACAGAACCCAGAATGCTCAGGAAAGCCCTGGGGGGGTCCAATTTTGGGGATTTTCTTTGCAAACTGGGGGAGGCCTGGAAAGCAGGTGTTAAGGGCTGCTTCTTCTTCTCTGGCAAAGCATGAAGACAATGTCAGTTCTGACCCCAGTTTCGTATTTGACCCCTGAGAGGCTCTCGCCTAACCCTGCATGCGTAACTGGCTGCTGAGGTATGCAAACCAACAACCTGTGCATGCATCCCGGGAGCACTGTTTGCACGAAGGCAGGCAACAACTGCAATGCAACAGTGGCCGGGACCAAGGACGGCTCCTGCGGCAGCCCGAGCCGGGCCACAGCTCACTTGCCACTTCAAGAACGTGCCGAGTTGGGTTTGGTCCCGCTAATCCACCTCAGCAGACAATTTGTCTCCGGCACCAGGGCAGACAAACCCACCGCCTGCATGCTCCAAGTCAGCACTTGGGTCTCTCTGTGCAGAAGAGCTTTGGAGACAGTGAAAGTGGTTCCCAGCTCTTTGGACATGTTATTTCTGCTTTGCTTTGCTTGAAATATATTTAGACATGCTGACGAGCACGTTTCCCCTCCGGCACCGAGAGCCAGGGACGTTCACATGCAGGCATTTCAACCCTCTTACATGGCAGGGCTTGCTCCAGCCTGGACGCAGCAGGAAGATACCTGCCCCCCTTTGCCAGCCATCACCGCTCCAGCGGCAAGACAGTAGAGGAGGTGATGCTTC